GGAGGATGCAGGGAACAAATTGCAGGTAAAATACCGCACAGCTGCCAAAAAAATGTGCATTGGAGGAAGGCGAGGGGCTTTTGCTTTGCGGAGCAGTGGCCTGATGAGATGAGTGGCGTTTGGGATGACTGCAGTGAATAGCAAGTATCACATCTTCTGCCGTTAATTCCCAGACCAATAAAGCTGCTGTTAAGAAAAGAAGTCAGATGGGAAATACCCAACAGGGTTGTGACTGCTCCCAGACCCGAGAGGAATTTTTCTGACAAATTGTTTATTGGGAAAAGTTACGCAGTTTCAGGTTGAGTTCAGCTAATAGCTTTGGCCAGGTATAGAAAAAAAAAAATAAGCAAGACATTTGTAAATGTAGTTTTGATGTGTTCTGTTCAAAAAGTTGTCTCCCTTCAAAATGTGTTAAAAGTATATAATTAAACCAAAATACAGACCACACACCTGATGGACAAAATGAAATTATATTTATCAGCTTTGTTGATATTTATTAGGTATTTGCTGGTCCCAGCCCAGCAGCGACACAGGTTTTCTGTGACATTAATGGGCCTTTCGAATTTATTGCTCCTGCCATCGCTGCTCCAGCAGCTGCCAGCTGCAGGTGCCTGAGGAGGGACATGGTGGGAGCCCCGGGCTTTGGCCACCGGCATCGCCTGCAAATGCCGCTGCGGACGGAGTGGTTTTCGGGCAGATGGAAGGATTTGGGGAGGCTGCAGCGAAGCCCGCAGGTTTTGGGGCTCCCTCCAGCATCATGCAGGGGTGGGATCAGTGGAGCTCAGGGGCCGCCCTTGGAGGGGAGGGGGTCTCACACCACGTCCCTCGTTTTCTATCAGCTGTTACGAAGGGGTGAGACGAGGCAGGCGAGGGGTTTTTGTATTAATCCCCTGCAGGCATGCTCTCCCCGTCTGCCACGGAGAGCAGACCCTGCCTGGTCCCCACTGCCAGCAACCAGAGCATGAAGCCACCAGAGACCACCTCCACTGCAAAGCGGTGGCAGGGGGAGGACACGCACCTCCTCACACATCGCTCCCAAAGTAGATCTCATTAACCATCGCAATTAACACGAGCCAGGCCTTCTCTCCTCCTTGCCATCCCAGCCAGAGCCATACATAAAAATAACTGTTTATTACACAGCGGGCAGAGCTCGGCTTATCGCTGCAGACAGGAAATTGCTGCACAGAAACCGCATGTTTCACTTTTAATAAGTTTGGCAATAAAATGTCTCGTCAAATGAGGCCACGACAGGGCGATAATGAAGCTTCCGCGTGGCCCATAATTGCTTACTGCTCTCCTGGGGGCGAGCCAGAACACTGGGACCGAGGGAGGAGCCGTCTGGCAGCATCATCTGCCCTCACCTCCTGCTCTGGGAGCATCCCTCCTTATCCCCGGCAGCATCCCCGGAGCATCGGCACCCACCGAGACACAGTTGAGTAGGAGGTCTGTCCATGTTGAAGGGATACAGGGAATTCCCACAGAGCGGTGGAGGAGGTGTCAGAGGAAGAGGGAGGCTGTTGGTGCTCCAAGCGAAAGGAAAAGGGATTCTGCCTTCCAAGGAGGACTTTTCGGCACTGAACAGTCTTCAAGGCTGGACGGGTGCTGTCGCACCCAGTCTGTATTCCTGGCTAAGGAGGGGTACGATCTCCTGGAGGTTTTGCACAAGTGGGCTTAGGATGAGGAACTCAAAGACCAGCTATGGGTGAAGCATTGCAGGCGTAAAACAGGAGAGACCCTACAGACACTCCTCACTTCTTCACGAAGGTCCTTGCTGATGGGAGCTGCAGAAACACTTGGCCTCTGCGGCCGATGATAACATCCACGCGCTTCTTGCCTTCCTGCTGTTTAGGTTTAAAGGGGTTGATCACGAGTCTGAAACACCTGCGCAGCCCCAGCCCAGCTCCTCTGAGCAGAGAAGCCAAGGACTGGCCAAGCATTGGAGGATGAACCGCCTTTCCCTCTTCAGAGGAGACTGAGGCATGACAAAGGGGAGGTCCCAGGAGGACCCCCATGCTGGACCTCTGCTATGGAGCAAGAGGGCTGCAGCACTTCAAGACCCATCATTGCCAGGGATCACTGCAGTGCCTGTCTATTCTGACGTCCTCATGCTGGTGACCTCAGGCCAGCAGCTGGTGACATCTGCAGCCAGGCGGCATCAGTCACCTGAGCCAGAGAATGGTGGTGGTGTCTCCTGGTGCTCCCTTCATGATGAGACTTTCTTTCTCTAAAGGAAACCAGGTCCAGCGAGGGACTGGTCACTGCCCTGACCTGCTTCTGTAGCTCCCCAGCTTCTGTATGATGTTCTAGACGGTGGGGGACACAAACCAGCCCTGCTGCAAGCCTATTCAGAGTGATGGGAGGAGCTCAAGAGAGCCCTGGTGGGGTGCCCCAACCCGTGGGTGGGTGGTGGGGAGGCACCAGGCAGCCAGCAGAGCCCAGGACAGTGAAGCTGTCCCTCATCACCTGTGGAGGCAAAGCTGGGCGCTTGCTGCCTTCTCCAAGTTAAATTATCCCCGAGCTCCTCATTCCCATTAGCCATCCCCCACAGCAGGGAGGGGACAGAGAGGTCCAGGAGGACATAGGTGCAATCACCCTGCAAAGACAGGCATGAGCCCCGGTGTGGTGATAACAGGAGACAAAATGAGACGTGCCCAGGCTGGGACTGAGAAATGAGGTGGTTTAGAGTCACAGCAGGAACGTGCTGGCACTGTCGGGGACTGCTGGCTGCTGGCAGGCTGCAGGGCCAGCAGGAGGCTTTGTTCACCCACGGCACTGCTCTCAGGGAGTTTACCTGGAATTACTGATCTGCATTCAGAAAAATGTTCCCATCCCAACTGTCAAGATACCTCTGTTTCTCCCTCTACTCGGCCCCGTGGCCAAGGATGGAGAAGCAGCTGGAGAAGGGAAAGAAGCAGAGGATGGGCGAGTCCACAAGCTTGGAACCAGTGACAGACACCCACTGCCACCACCTCTGCTCTGCAAAGAAGCACCTTGAAAATAAACCGAAGAGGTCTTCTGGAGGGGAGCAGGAGCTCTGCAGGAAGCCCTGCAGCCCCGGGCAGCAATGACCTGGGGACAGGCACCTCGGCTGGAGATGGGCTTTTATTGCAGGAGCAATGAGCAGGTGGCAGGAGAGGGACCAGCTCCCAGCTGAGGACAGAGCCACCCAGGCTGCTCAGCCTGAGATTGGGCTGGTGCTCGTCTTGCTTGGAGCGGGGCCAATCACTTCTAGTAAATTATTCATCTGACAAATTTAGCCTGTTATTCTAGTCGTGCTTTACCCAGAGTTTTACAGATTTTGTTATTATTTCAAATTGTGCAAACACCGCAGAAACCTCTCCCAGGCCCTAGCGCGCTCTGCCTTCATCTCAGCTCTCGGCTCTTCTGCCACATCCGAAATGGGGTGTCTACCATCTGGTGCCAAACCTTCCATCCCTGCCAAGCCACAGAACCTTGTGGAGACAAGTGATGTCCCTGTTCAGCACAAGGCTTCTACCAAAGGGAGAACCATCCACCATGTGAGAACCACCTACTGATGACCCAGAGGTCGGTGGGATCAGAGGAGGCCATGGCACACCGACGGACCCATTTGAAGCTATTCTGAATTTTTTCCACCTCCATCCTTGCATCTGGGATGGGGAGAAAAGTGACCCCACAATTCTTTTGCAGCCTGGGCTATTGTGGCCTTGAGAAACCAGAAAAAACTTTTCCCTTCCTCCCCACATGCTCATCACTTCTCCTGTTTAAGTTTTTTTTGTAACCACGAAGGTACAGCTAAAATTTCACACTGCCAAGGGGAATCACGTGCCCTTTGCAAAACATACAGCCTGGGAAGGAAGGTGTCACCAGACAAAGACGAGGGGAGATGGGTGCGTTTGTTGTAGATGAGCCAAGACTTATCAGACCCACAAGAGCAACAGTGATGTGTCTGGGGAGAAGGCATCAACCAAGAAGCACCAAATGGTTGAGGTGCTTGAATCTCCTGGCCCACCACAGGGCATGAGGAAGAGGAACAGCCAGAGATGCCACCTCCTTGCCAGACCAGCTCTGGAGAAGAAATCACACAGAATCACACACAGAATAGTAGGGGTTGGAAGGGACCTCTGTGGGTAATCTAGTCCAACCCCCCCGCCGAAGAATTGTGCCCATTGCCCCTTGTCCTGTCACTGGGCACCACTGAAAAGAGCTTGGCCCCATCCTCCTGACACCCACCCTTCAGATATTTGTAGGCATTTATAAGGTCCCCTCGCAGCCTTCTCTTCTTCAGGCTGAACAAGCCCAGTTCCCTCAACCTCTCCTCGTAGTGGAGATGCTCCAGTCCCCTCACCATCCTTGTAGCCCTCCGCTGGACTCTCTCCAGTAAATGCCATAAGCAACACAAGCCCATTTGCTTCACAACAGGGCTTGACTCTGCTCTCACTCTGCAGTGACTGTCAGCTCACACCTTGCTTAGGGGGAGAAAAATGGGGCAAAGAGGCCCATGAACCCCAAAATGAACCAACCCCAAGAGCTGTAATGCATAATTTCACCAAAAACACCAGAAAAGACTGTAAATTTCTACACGGAGACCTGCCAGGGCTCCCCAGCAAGTTATTGTGGGACACTTCAACTACTCTCGTTAGGGGGAATTAATTAGCTGAACAGCAGGGACGGAAGCAATAGATGCAAAACAGAGAGCAACAGATCTAAGGAAGAGGTTTATCAGCCAGAAGAAAAACATAAAAGAAACAGGTAAAAAAATAAATTGCAGGGTTATCTTTTCTTTCTGACCAGGCAGAAGAAGCTCACGGGTGGCAAAAAGGGGGAATGATGTAGAGTGAAAACCCACCCCCACGAGCCCCCTCGGTGGCAGGGAGAGGGGGTGCTCGGTGTGGGGCTCCACGGGACGAGGACGGGCGCGGTGCCTGGCTCCCTCTGGAAGACTAGTGATTTTGTTGTTGTATGGCTCATCCCACCACAACAAGTCACAGTCTGCCCTAGGGCGCACGGCCTCTGCGGCAATGCTGAAGGCGCAGGGACGAGCCAGCAGCCATGGCCATTCTCCGCTTCTGACCACCTCGGCCGTTGCTTTTGTGAGTCCT